TGAATAAACCTTAAAAGGGAAAGTGACCCCAATTACAAACTATAAACTAAATATGGTTTTTATCTTAGTTTTTCCAATACCTCATAAAATGTACCTTCCCATGACTGTCTTTCTGGGACAGGGATCATAGTCCTCGGCCAGTACGATTTAGCATTTTTCCATCATGTAAACTACACTTCACCTTTGTTATGCTCCTCTGAGTCATGAGAAACTATATCTCAGACAACATAAAGGAGAGGCAATGTAAACATCAGTAAGGGAATACCAGCTTTATAAACCCAATGGATACGCTGGAGACACGGAGGCAGGGGGGGGGGAACGTTATTAATGAGATAAGAAAAAATAGGACAGGTCCAAGGTCTGACGGTGTTGATCCCACGTTAAGAGATTTGCTCGAAAATGTTTTCAGTCGGAAAAGGAAGTTTCCATTATGTCTGGGATCATCCGGGAAGGTGGTTCGGCTCCCCACCCGTTCATTTGTCCAGCTACTAGTATAATATAATATAATATAATATAATATAATATAATATAATAATATAATATAATATAATATAATATAATATAATATAATATATCTATGAAAGATGATGGCGTTTCACAGGTGAACAGCATGTCCCGCTTTCGGTGCTGATAGCACAGACCGCAATTCCCTGCATTTCAGCTACACGTGAAATCATGTCCAACAGGAAAACAACCAACTCCCCATTAAGTGCTTGTTGAAAAGTTAAGGATCGTATCACCTCACTGTTCCCATACACTTGCCACGGCACGTCATTAATCAGAAACGTGGATATGTATATCATAATGATCTAAAAATACCAACAGAGCAAATTACAAAAGCATGACTTACCTGCTCTAGCATCACCGTAAAGTCTGTATATGAGAGCTGGCTTATGTCGTTTCCGCCAGGGCGCCCGCGTCTCGGTAACAGGACCCCGGCTGCCGCCTGCCCGTCAGCCACAAACTGCGCTCTTCGCGATCCTGCAGAGATCTGCAAACAACATAGAAATTGCATTACTCAGCCGGGAATGTAAAAGCGAAGCGAAGAGAACCAAGCAAACGTGCTTTTGACCCACTTGGGTAAATGTATAATATACGGCACATCAGCACCAAGATCTGCAGCCTACGGCCGTCTAAGTACCAACCCGGTGGCCGGACAGATAGCAGCCTTTCGCAAAACTGGAGTATCTGACTTTGCCGACATGCGAGCACATCAGTCAGCAACACTCTATCTATCTATGACTCTATCTCTCTACATAGGCTAGGCAGCAATCGAGCTGACTCCTCACCTCTAGTGATTGAATAAATGTAACTCTGCGTTACTGCTGCTCGCCGAGAAACCACCATTCCTGACGCATCGGCCGGCAGGCCCCTTCCCCAACGTTCACGTTACTAAGTTTCTGATCAGCACTGATCACGTTAACACACGGTCCGTAGCTGGCTACGCTGGATCATATCTTACTATTTAAAACACTGCAACACACCTTTACGTCTGCGATCGCATATTACCGACACGTGAAACAGAAAAACTCTATGCACGGGAAGAAAACAAAAAACAAAGCGTAGAAAAAACTAATCAAACTCACACGAGGAGCGAGTCCTATCTTTCCGGACAGCCACTAAATAGTTAGACATCACTTCTGTTTGACCCCGCCCCAGACATTGGCATATAGACAGATGGCGCTTCATGACGACGGAAACAGCCAATCGGAGCGCCGGCTCGGAGTGCATTCCCCGTTTCTATTGGCCTAATTGTTTAACAGCCGCATTCTGCTTGGTCGAATCCAACGCTTGTAAACTTACACGGGACAACGCCCCTCCGAAATAGGGGTGTGTCGTGACGTCAGATAACTGGCTGAGAGGTAAACAACTTGGGACTTCGTGAGGTTGAAGGTGTCATTCCTATATAAAATATACAAATGCACAACGTTTTGCAGTAACTTATTATTATGCCCATGCGCTGTATAGAGGTCCCACTGATAAACTACGGGAAAACATTTTATACGGTTGCTGCATGTATACCGTCCTGTCCTGTCTTTTCTCTGCAGTCTAATTCAAAATTGAAAAATCACGAACACGCTTTAATTACATTACTGTTATGAATTTTAGTATCCTGCCAAAATCAATGCATTAGAAACTTACCGCTGTGCCGCTGATTATCACTTAATGAACTGAAGTAAAACTTTCTTAAGTCAAAAAATCTCTGAATATAAGGCAAAGGTGAAAGAGACCGACCTCTGTTCTACTCACTCCAGCTTCCTCTGACCTCGCTGTGCCCTTTAGCCATGTGATCACACCGTGCTTGATCCCCACATGGCAATGCCGGAAGTGCTGAATGGCACGTGTCTTTGTATTATGTTGTGTACCGATACCTTAATGTTATTCTATATTATTTACATAATTTTGTTTCTTGGCTAGTATTGATATATAAAGTTAACGTGTTTTAATTTAAAGCTCAATATTTTTACTTTGAAGGACATAACAGTAATGCCCACCTCCCCAGCAGCACCTGAACTTCGAACTTTGTTGTCTATGAATATGTCTGAGTCCTGGTGCTTGCGTGTTAGTGTGCCTGTGAACACTGAACACTTATGTTTTTATGTGTCTGTTTTTCACCCTGCTCTGAAGCCTCTTTTCAGCACTCGATATTATTTTAGTTATTATTTTGAAATGTTCCTGCTTGTAAAACACAAAAGCAAAGACAAAACCCTATACAAAAACATAAAAGACACCTGGATCAATTTAATGGTTCCGTACTTACTGAGTAAGTAAGCACATTGAGGGATGAATGTATGTCATTGATTTGAAGTACTGGGCAGTGAATTTCCCTGATAAAATACTCAATATGCAGTTATTCGTGCTGTGGTAGATGTTTTGTGGTGGTGGGCCATTGTAGAGGGCAGGTGTGCCAGTGCTGTACAGCACAGAACAAGCCTTATTTTCCTTCCTTGATACATACAGTCTAGACAATACAATCCACATGCACAGTGTCTGTACTGAGTTTGCAATCAATCTGCAGCTCTGTGATTTTCTGTGGTTTCTGCGGTCCGGTGGTGGTGCTAACCGTCCTCCCATCACTGAATAGTCTGCACTGGTGATCCCATACGCATCACTTCATTTGGTCACGCTGTAAATGTAGTTGTACAGCTCCCTCATTCTTTAATGCTTTAGGTATATCAGTGCCTACCCTGACTCTTCAGTCTATTTAGTGTCAAGTGAACGGTGACAGGCATCTAATGTCCAGTATAAGTAAGGCATTAGGCTATTGGTAAATAATTTAATGAGAATTTTTGGTAAAACTTAAAGCAGTCATATAAATGCGTTATACCCTCATAATTCATCATAATGCATTCATAGAGCATTATAAATGTGGCTATAATTATTTATAAAAAGGCATAACACATTATACCCATGTTTATTATGCATTATGAATGCTCTATGAACTTCTCATCTATGATACACTATAGATACCTTTATAATGCAGTACAAAGCACCCATGATACTTATACCAACCATTATAATGCATTACAAAGGCATCTATAGTGCAGAATAATGTGTTATGATAAATATTAATATCCTTTTGATAAATATTAATATCCATGTTTATAATTCTTTATGAATGCATTATGACTACTTTAAGTAAAGTATTACTAATTCTTTTGTCAATGTAAACATGATCTTTTTTGAGTTTTTGCTTTTGTAAATGCCAAAGAGAGAGTACTGGATTACATTTTCCGGACCTTCTTTCGGTTTTCCAAGAAGACATTCAAGAAATTGATTTATGTGTTTACGTGTGTTTCTCTCTTAAATGTAAAGCTAAGAAACTGATCAGCTAGGGACTAACAGGATATATTTTGCAGTAACATTGTCTGCAGGCACATAAGCTTATACTGTTACCGTTTGATCTGCAACTGGAAAGTGATGCAAAGATTTCAGTTTTTCTCTAAACCAAGGATTTGATTATTTAGTACCTGCCCGTTTCCATTTCGTGGAAATTTACTGCGGCCCTTAACTGCTGCCATTGGCCGTCCTCCTTTCATGAAATCAGCAGCTACACTTTGACCCGACTGATTTGCATCAAAGGCAAGCACCATTGCGCAGGTGCAACATCATATCACATGATCATAAATCAGCATGCTCGCATCATCTCCTGCCTTCCAGACAAGCAGCTTCTATGAATTTACAAAATGCCTGCTTGACTGTAGTCTGATACCGTGAGCTGCAGAGCTGGAAGACGGATGCACGAAGAGTGTGAAAGAGAGGGAAAATGATTCTGAAATCTATAGTGAAGCCTAAATCAACTGCAGTCCCAATGTTCATTAGCTCCAGATCAATGTCAAGAGTTGCACAAGAGTGGAAAAACACCCTTCACTCAATACCCACCTACCCACCCCTCCATCATACTGCCGTCACTCTGTTGGTAGCTGGTATAATGAAGCTCGTGCGAGAACCCTTGCACACCAATAGCAGGGAGAGGCTCAAAGCATACAGCCTTTCGGCATGTGATCACTCCAATAGAGGTTACACATGAAACATTCCACTCTGTGATATCACAAGCAGTTGGTGATTTTCAAACGTTTTTATCCACCAGCAGTCCTGAAAAAAGGCCAGATGTTTGGTGAAGGAATGCAAGTCCATGCATGCTGGTTATGCATTAGGCATAAATCTCTGTGATACACAGAAAAGGAATACAACTCAGCACAAAACAGGATGCTTTATCATTTTTCATATTTTTTTGTCTTTTAAATAAAAGTTGCCATGTTGGTGATTACAGGCCTAAATTCCAAAAAGGCATAATTCCTTTGAGGGGGGGGGGGCGTATAGCAGGGTGAAGCATAATGACACCGAACTCCTGACTGAAAGGATTATAAATGGCACAGACCTCATTAGAGCAAGCCAGCTCTCTGACCAAGGAGTGGCTCCGCAAAACCTTGCTCTCGTTGTAAAGAATTCTTTAAAAACCAAAACTTTGCCTGTTTGGCTGATCATAAGGCATGGTCAGGGGACCAGGCCTGTACACAGTTCCAGGCCAGTCAATTCCTTTGTCTCTACCATGTCCCAGTCCTGTTTAGATTTGCTACAGAGGGGGAAGGAGGTTGCCCTCCAAAAAACTTATATATGTTTACCAGGAGACCAGTCTGTCCAGCCTCGTGGTTTGTGGAGCTTTGTTTGCCAGCGCTAATGATACACTTCCTGGCCAGGAGTAACTGGCCTTCTCTGTGCTTCCGGCAAAGAAGCACCGGGCTTCAGCTGTGCCAATCACATGATCAGCATCTGTGGTGAATAGTTAACTTTTGCTGTGGGGGCAGCTCGTATTTACTGGAAGGTATTGAAACAGCCTCCTTGCCAGGCAAAATAGTGTGGAGAAGTCTGTGTAGTAAGTAGACCTAGGGAGCACGGCTAAGGTCCTAGGGAGCATGTCTGAAGCCCTAGGGAGCACGGCTAAGGTCCTAGGGAGCATGGCTGAAGTCCTAGGGAACATGGCTGAAGCCCTAGGGAGCATGTCTGAAGCCCTAGGGAGCACGGCTAAGGTCCTAGGGAGCATGGCTGAAGTCCTAGGGAACATGGCTGAAGTCGTAGGGAACATGGCTGAAGTCCTAGGGAACATGGCTGAAGCCCTAGGGAGCATGTCTGAAGCCCTAGGGAGCACGGCTAAGATCCTAGGGAGCATGACTGAGGTCCTAGGGAACATGACTGAAGCCCTATGGAGCACGGCTAACGTCCTAGGGAGCATGGCTGAAGCCCTAGGGAGCATGACTGAGGTCCTAGGGAGCATGGCTGAAGCCCTAGGGAGCATGGCTGAGGTCCTAGGGAGCATGACTGAGGTCCTAGGGAACATGACTGAAGCCCTAAAGAGCACGGCTGACGTCCTAGGGAGCATGGCTAAGGTCCTAGGGAGCATGACTGAGGTCCTAGGGAACATGACTGAAGCCCTAGGGAACATGGCTGAAGCCCTAGGGAACACGGCTGAGGTCCTAGGGAGCATGGCTGAGGTCCTAGGGAGCATGACTGAGGTCCTAGGGACATGACTGAAGCCCTAGGGAGCACGGCTAAGATCCTAGGGAGCATGACTGAGGTCCTAGGGAGCACGGCTAAGATCCTAGGGAGCATGGCTGAGGTCCTAGGGAGCATGACTGAGGTCCTAGGGAACATGACTGAAGCCATAGGGAGCACGGCTAAGATCCTAGGGAGCATGGCTGAGGTCCTAGGGAGCATGGCTGAGGTTAGCCCATGTTTTCTCCCTGGAACCAAGTGTGTTTACCTACAGGGAGCATGCAGCACCTCTGGGTCCTGCACATCCTTCAGTCCCTGTGGCTCCCTGACACGTGTGCTGTTCTTCCCCTTGGCACTGTCTGCACACTTGTATACCACTTCCGAGTTCTTGTCTCAGCTTCTGTGTGATGCTGTGCCCACGTGCTGCTGGTCCTCATTAGAGACAGATATGCCACCAAGAACCTCAGAGCACAGCCAGCCAT